CTTCTCCCTCTGCCGCTCCCCCTGCTTGTGTACTCTCTCTCTCTCTCTCTCTCTCTCTCAAATAAATAAATAAAATAAAAATAAAATAAAATAAAATAAAATAAAAGAGTAAGGTAGATCCGTAGGTCCTGGTGTGGACAGAGGTCCACTGTATATTGTATGTGGGAAAAAAAAAAAAGTCACAGCACACTAGGAAGCATGTAGGCCCATTTATGTAAGTAAAACAAAGCCACAACACCCGTATGAATATAGAAAAGAAGCCCTCACACCAACCAGGAATGGGAGGATAAGGGAAGGAGGACATTACTCTTTTCACTACTCATGCTTATTTTGTCTGAAAATCTTTCAGCAACTTTTGCTTATGTAATAACTTAACAGTCTATTAAATTTCTTAAATGTTGAAATAAATTTGAGGAGGAGGACTATCTACAAATTGGTGTCATGCTAGGGAAACAGTTTTCAAAGAGATGCCAAAAATTTGAGGCAACTTCCCGTACCTTCTCTGAGAAGAGCTGAGTTACTGCCCTGATGCTGGAACTGGCAGTCAGATGCTTATCATCCTGGGCCCGGACCCCATCTTTTGATGGAGGGCTGTTTGATGATATAGCTGGTTCACCATTCCCATGGATGTCATTATGGTTAGAAATGCTTCATTTCTTCTTGTGGGGGAGTTCCAGACCCAGGGAAGCTTGCTCTGCCTATGCCTTGGCAGAAGGGCTGGAAGAGGAGATGGGAGAGAGAGAAAGCAGGAGAGATGAGAAAACAGAAGTTGAAGGAGTAAATGAGTGAGGGGAATGAAGAAGAGAGGAGAATGAAGGAGGCAGAGGGGCAAAGAGAGATGGGCAGGGGATGGGAGAGGGAAGGGAAGAGGAGGGGAGAGGTGGGGGGAGCAGAGCTGAGGGAAAGAGAGGAGAGGATGATAGTGAACACTTACTGGATGTTTAGTATGTGCCAGCCATTCTAAGCGCTGCATGGGCTTTTATGTTGTCCTCTCTGGTGAAGGTGGTGGTATTACTATCTCTGTTTTACCACTCAGAAAAATGGAGCCCAAGGCACAGAGATGTAAAGAAATTTTCCCAGGATCACCCAGCTTGTAAGTTCTGAAGCAAGAATTCAAACCCAGGTTGCCTGATGCCAGAGCACCTGTTCTTATGACTGGAAACTTAAGGAAAAGAAGAGCACTTATGACGGAGGGAGGGAGGAAAGAAGGAAAAGGAAAGAGGAAGGAAGAGGGAGCAAGAAAAAAGACAGGGTCTGATGGTGACTGCTATTTTAATTTGTACGCCATGTAGGAGAGGAGATTAATTATACACAATAGATCAGTTCTGAACAGTTGACATATGGGAATGCTTTGTTTTCCGGCTTCGGCCAGGAAATACCTAGATAAACCAAGGTGTCTATTATAGCACAACAAATTATCCCCAAACTTAGTAGCTTCCAATAACAAACATTTGACATCCCACAGTGTCTGAAAGTAAGGAATCCAGGGGCAGCTAAGATGGGTGGGTGCAGCTCAGGGTCTTTTGTGAGGTCGCAGTCAAGATGACAGCTGGGGCTGTATCATCTGAAGGCTGGACTGGGGCTGGAGGACCTGTTTCTAAGATGGCTCATTCACACAGACTGGAGATCTCAGCTGTTTGCTCCCTGGGTTTCTCCATAGGGCTGCTTGAGTGTCCTTACAACATGGCTGCAGGCTTCCAACAGAGGGAGCGACCCAAGAAAGCCAGATAGAAACCACAATGTCTTTTATGACCTAGCCTTGGAAATCCTTTCACATCACTTCTGCCACATTCTATTGGCTACACAGACCATCCCTGACACAGTGTGAGAGGGGATGACAGAAAAGCATGAATATCAGAAATTTAGGGATAACTCAGGGCCATCTTGAAGGCCGGTTACCGCATAAAGCTACAGGTTGGTTTCTGATAAGCAGTCTCTTCTCTGGCCATCTATAATGACTTAACAACTAGTCTTGTCAAATCTCTCTGGGAGGCTTCTCACCCAGCAGTTTCTCTGCTAGCTACATAATATGGAGATATGTGTATTTATGAGCAAGACTGTTTCTAGAAACATTGTTTGTAACAGTCAAATGGCCCGTAGCCTAAGCACAACTCAACAACTAAATACATATATTGTGCCACATTTATAGGACAGAATATTCCATAGCAACAGGGAAGTCACATGAAAAACGTAAATGAATCTTATAATGTGGAGCAAAGGAGGCCAGGCTAATACATACTGTATGAATTCCCATTTACATGCAGCTCAAAAACAGGCAGAACTAAACTAATGTTTAAGAATGCTTATTTAAGTAGTGAAACTCAAAAAAAGGGGCAAGGAACTTATTAGCATAAAAGTCAGGGGTGTGGTTACCTTTAGGGGTGAAGGAAAGGGTTGTGATCAGGACAGAGCAGGATGGCGCTTCTGGCAAAGTTGTTTCTTTACCTGAGTGCTGATTACAGTGTTCTCTTTTTAATAATACCTCCAGCTGTACATTTATGTTTGATGCACTTTTCTGTATGTTTTCCATATTTCACAGTAAAAAAAAAAAAAGCTTTAAAAAATTTGGAATGGTTTTAGTGATAGATTCTGGGTTTAATGCTCTAAGATTCGGTCTCAGAAAACAGTCAGCAATGATTAGGGTAATTATTAGTCTAAATATGCACAATCGGCCCTGTTCCTGTATCAGTGTGGGTGATGGGGATTTACGGTGAGCTCGAGAGGTATGGGGGAGTTTGTTTGCTCAAATCAGTGACGCGTAGTGAACCTTGCCCTATGGTACCCTACATCGCTACAGGGCCTCCCATTTGACACTGGGAACTCAACCCCTATCATGGTAACTTCTGAACTTCTCCTTCTAGAAACCATGGTGGAATTTCAGTCTGGCGCTTACCATCATGGGTTCTCCCCACCCCCATCCGTCTTTGCGTGCTCCCTCCCACCCCTCCCTAGTCTAGCTTTCCTGAATTTCTTTTGTTAAGCTGACAGAACCCCTAACTGAACCCACTGACGAGAGCTGGACTGTGCTTTTCTCTCTCTTTTCTTTCTTTCTTTCGTTTCTTTCTTTTTTTTTTTTTTTTTACAATCTACAATGAACCTTCCAAGTTCATTACCTCAAATGGTCTTGGTCAGGACCCAGGGGCTGGGGGCAGAAGCTTATTATCCAGCCTCAGGGACAGTGAGAGCTGGCTGGCAGCCGCAGTCATTCTGAACCAGTCATGTCCAATTAGAAGGAACATTAGGCACTTTCCTTCTGGAGCCCCATTAACAAATTAGTCCTACCACAAACTGAGAGGGACTGGATGGGACCGAATACCTTTTGACCACGGGATAATTTGATAATTTGGAGAAGAAACAGTGCAGAACACTGCTGTGTGTGTGAGTGTGCGAGTGAGTGTTGGCAGTAGAGCGCAGGCAGGTGGCTAGGGAGGAGGATCGGTCCTGCATTCCTGTCCCACCCAGGAACGAAACCTTTCTAATACCTGTTACTGGGTTACAAAAGTCGGGGAACTGGGAAGAATGACCATCTTTTCTGAGGTTACTACTTTACCCCTGGCTGACGCAATGGGCTAGAGGAGCAGTTACACCTGCCCTCAGCCAAGGCATTGCCTCCTTAGGTATTTTTGCAAGTCTCAGTTCCCGGAAGTTCATGGGGGAGAAAGCTGGGGGGAACCAGCGTCTCCTGTACCTGCTGTGGTAAAATCACCTTAACTCACTATCTAAGGTTATGTTACGTTTTCAAAGTATTGGTTATAAATGGCTTTCTCAGTGAAAAATCCTAATTAGACCTCTGAGACATCTAAGAGTCTCAATCACGAATAAATTTTTGTTGCTAAGGAAACAACTCTGTTCAAATTACCATGACAAATTCCAGTCGCCATTTTAGGTTCATTTGCAATAGAGCAAAAGACTGGAGCAAGTCCTCTCAAAAGGTGAGCAGGAAAGGAAAGGATGTGACAGTAGGTGAGGAAAGTATTCCTGTTTCCCATCTCAGCTGAAGAGCTAAGAATCTAAAAGCAGAGGACCACAGAGAAGACTCATCTTGTCTTTCTTCCCACGACAGTTGGTTAACTCTGGAATTTCCCATTGGAAAGATTCTTAGAGATTTTCTGCCAACTCCCATTCAATGTAGGAGTGCTCTTTTTATTCACAATAGATCCTATGGATATAAACAAGCACTCAGGATATTATGAATAACTTCATTCAATATAATAAAAAACCTAGATAAAATGGATAAATTCTCCAACCCCCCACCAAAAATGGATAACTTAACATAACTTACCAAAAACATAACTTACCAAAACAGACAAAGGAGAAATAAAAAAATTATAAATAGCTCCCTATCTATTAAATAGGCTGAACTTATAATTAAAACCCACAGAGAAATCTCCAGGCCCAAATGACTTCACTGGTTAATTCCATCAAACATTAAAGAGAGAAATAATACCGTCGTACACAAACTCTTCCCAAAAAATAAAGAGGGAAGAAACACTTCTCAACTTGTTTTATGAGTCCAATATAAGCCTGATACTAAAACTTCAGTAGATGCAGAAAAATAATTTGACAAAATTGAACACCTTTCACAATCCAAGCTGTCAGCAAGCTAAGAGAAGGGCGCTTCCTCAACTTGATGAAAGGAATGATAAAACTTACAGTTAATATCATAGTTCATGGTGAATTAAACCATTGCTCACTAAGTCTGAGAACAAGGCAAAGATGTCTGCTTTTGCCAGCTTTATTCAAAATTGAGCCCCTTCCCCCCAAAAAAGAAATAAAAAGCATAGGGGCTGGAAAGAAAAAACTGAAGCTGTCGATATTTATAGACAACTGGATTGTGTAAGTAGAAAACCTTATGGGAATCTATAGAACAACTACTAGATTTTATAAGTGAATTTAACAAGATTGCAAAATACAAGGTCAATATGCAAAAATAAATTGTATTTCTAGATATTAACAAGTAAAAACTAAAAGTTTTAAATGTACTATTTACGAGCTTCCTCCGCCATTTTAAATCCAGCTCCATACAACGCTCCGCCGCCGCTGCTGCCACGACCCGGACGGCGCGCCAGCACCCCACGGCCGACAACTCCGCCACCATGGAGGACGTGAACGAGTACAGCAACATAGAGGAATTCGCAGAGGGATCCAAGATCAACGCGAGCAAGAATCAGCAGGATGACGGTAAAATGTTTATTGGAGGCTTGAGCTGGGATACGAGCGAGAAAGATCTGACTGAATATTTGTCTCGATTTGGGGAAGTTGTAGACTGTACAATAAAAACAGATCCAGTGACTGGAAGATCAAGAGGATTTGGATTTGTGCTTTTCCCCAAAGATGCTGCTAGTGTTGATAAGGTTTTGGAACTGAAAGAACACAAATTGGATGGCAAATTGATAGACCCCAAAAGGGCCAAAGCTTTAAAAGGGAAAGAACCCCCCAAAAAGGTTTTTGTGGGTGGATTGAGCCCAGATACTTCTGAAGAACAAATTAAAGAATATTTTGGAGCCTTTGGAGAGATTGAAAATATTGAACTTCCCATGGATACAAAAACAAATGAAAGAAGAGGATTTTGTTTCATTACATATACAGACGAAGAGCCAGTAAAGAAATTGTTAGAAAGCAGATATCATCAAATTGGTTCTGGGAAGTGTGAAATCAAAGTTGCACAACCCAAAAAGGTATACAGGCAGCAACAGCAACAACAAAAAGGAGGAAGAGGTGCTGCAGCTGGTGGACAAGGTGGTACTAGGGGTCGTGGACGAGGTCAGGGCCAAAACTGGAACCAAGGATTTAATAACTGTTATGATCAAGGATATGGAAATTACAATAGTGCCTATGGTGGTGATCAAAACTATAGTGGCTATGGCGGCTATGATTATACCGGGTATAACTATGGGAACTATGGATATGGACAGGGATGTGCAGACTACAGTGGGCAACAGAGCGCTTACGGCAAGGCGTCTCGAGGGGGTGGCAATCACCAAAACAATTACCAGCCATACTAAAGGAGGATGTTGGAGAAGACAGCGGGAACTTCATTGCAGGCCGTGTGTCACCCTGACCACGTCTATCTCTGGGGGTCGCACGTTGCGGGCAGAGCGCAAGGCATACACCAGAAAACGCTGTCCTGTGGAGGAGATTGCTAAAGTTAACCCATCTTGCAGGACGACATTGAAGATTGGTCTTCTGTTGATCTAAGATGATTATTTTGTAAAAGACTTTCTAGTGTACAAGACACAACTGTCCAACTGTATATAGCCACCAATTAGTTTTCTTTGTTTTTACTTTGTCTTTTGCTATCTGTGTTATGACTCGATGTGGATTTGTGTTTATACAAATTTTATTTGTATGATTCCATGTTAAACCTCAAATAAATGCTTCCTTATGTGATTGTTAAAAAAAAATGTACTATTTACGATAACATCAAAAAACATCAACTATCTGGGATGAAATTTAGCAAAAGATGTGTAAGACTTCTACACTTAAAACAACGAAACACTGCTGAAATTAAAGACCTATGAAATGGAGAGGTATGCTACATTCATGGATTAGAAGCCTCTAATGTTGCTAATATTTCCATTCTCCCAGAAAAACTGATCAAGAGAGTCCAGAAATGAACCCGCCTATATATGACCGATTAATTTTCAGCTGAAATGTCATCAATTCAGTGGAGAAAGGAAAGTCTTTTTAACAGTGTTGAAACAATTGTATATATTTGAGGGGGAAAGTGAATCTCAACCCCAATCTTACTCATACATAAAATTAACTTGAGGGGCGCCTGGGTGGCTCAGTCGTTAAGCGTCTGCCTTCGGCTTAGGTCATGGTCCCAGGGTCCTGGGATCGAGCCCTGCATCGGGCTCCCTGCTCCACGGGAAGCCTGCTTCTCCCTTTCCCACTCCCCTGCTTGTGTTCCCTCTCTCGCTGTGTCTCTCTCTGTCAAATAAACAAATAAATAAAATCTTAAAAAAAAAAAAATTAACTTGAAATAGGTCACAGACCAAACAGAAAAGCCCAAACTCTTTGCTTTCAAGGGAAAATGAATAAAAAAGCAATCTTGGGGTCAGCTAAGATTTCTTGGACAAGACACAAAAAATATTAACTACTAAAGAAGAAAGAAGTAAATGTGACTTCATCAATACTTCTATTTTTCAAAGAGTGTAGAAAAGCAAGCCACAGAGTGGGAGAAAATATTCCCAATGCCTATATGTGACAAATGTCTTGAATCCCAATTTAAAAGAATCCAGGGGCACCTGGGTGGCTCAGTCAGTTAAGCGTCTGACTTCAGCTCAGATCATGATCTCAGGTCCTGGGATCAAGTCCCGAGTCGGGCTCCAAGCTCAGTGGGGAGTCTGCTTCTACCTCTTGCTCTCCCCCTGCCACCCCCTGCTCATGCTCTCTCTCTCTCAAATAAATAAATCAATAAAATCTTAAAAAAAAAAGAATCCAGGGGCGCCTGAGTGGCTCAGTTGGTTAAGCGACTGCCTTCGGCTCAGGTCATGATCCTGGAGTCCCGGGATCGAGTCCCACATCAGGCTCCCTGCTCGGCGGGGAGTCTGCTTCTCCCTCTGACCCTCTTCCCTCTCGTGATCTCTATCTCTCATTCTCTCTCTCAAATAAATAAATCAAATCTTTAAAAAAAAAAAAAGAATCCATCCAACTCAACAATAAGAAAAACAACCCAATTTTTTAAATGGTCAAAATCTTGATCAGAAATTTTACCAAAGAATATATACAAATGGCTAATAAGCACATGAAACTGTATCCAACATCATGAGTTACCAAGGAAATGCATATGAAAAACGCAATTGCAGCAAAATTTTAAAAGGCTGATAAATTACCACCCTTGACAAGGATGTGAAACAACCAAAAGCTCATTCAAAGATGATAGGAGAGTAAAATGGTATAAATCCTTTTGAAAACCATATTGTGACTTTCCTATAAAATTTATAATTTTACCTCTCCTGGATCCAGCAAATTCTATTTCTAGGTAGAAACATATCCACAAAATGACTTTCCTATAAATATTCCTGGTAACTTTATCCATAATAGCCAAAACCTGGAAACAATCAAATGTCTATCAATAGTTGAATAGATTAACCAATTAAGGTATACCTACACAAGGAAATACTAGTCAGCAACACAAAACAACGAACTGTTGGTACATGCAGTAACATGGATGAATCTCACAATTACACTGAGTGAAAGAAGCCAGACAAAAGGAGTACATACTATTTCTTTCTTTCTTTCCTTTCTTTCTTTCTTTCTTTCTTTCTTTCTTTCTTTCTTTCTTTCTT